GGCCGTGCCATTTTATTAACGCCACCAGAATCATGACTTCGACTTCGGAGTCAAGCAGTTCGAACACTTGACCGCCAAGTGCAACTTCCCCTGGCTGCTCGCCAACGTCCTAGACCCAGCTCTCGGCGAAAATGTTCCCCTCGGAAATGCCAAGCATACTCACATGCTCACATCCTCCAATGGCATCAAGATTGGTCTCATTGGCCTCGGTGAGAGAGAATGGCTCGAAACAATCAACAGCTTGCCTCCTGATATCATCTACAAGTCCGCCAGCGAGACAGCCAAGGAGCTCGTTCCCCAACTCCGCGCCCAGGGTGCCGACATAATCATCTGTCTCAGCCACCAGCGTGAGCCAAACGACAACAAGCTTGCCGAGAAAACGGACGGTCTCATCGACATCATCCTCGGCGGCCATGATCATTACTATGCGCACAGCTTCATCAACGGTACTCATGTTCTGCGATCTGGCTCCGATTTCAAGCAACTCAGCTACGTTGAAGTCCGGAAGAAAGCGGACGGTTCAGGAAAATGGGACTTCGACATTGAACGACGGGACATTGTCTCTTCCATTGCCGAAGACCAGGAGACTTTGAAGCTCACTGAGGAGTTGACTTCGAAGCTCAAACACAGCTTGGCCAAGTCAGTTGGTTGGACAGCTTCTCCCTTGGATGCACGCTTCACGACGGTTCGAATGAAGGAGAGCAACATGGGCAACTTTGTTTGCGACGTAATGAGACACTACCACAACGCTGACTGCGCTCTCATGGCAGCTGGCACCATACGAGGTGACCAGATTTACCCGCCCGGCGTAATCAGAGTCAGGGACATTACCAACTGTTTCCCCTTTGAAGATCCCGTCATTTTCATCAGAGTGACCGGCCAGCAAATATGGGATGCCTTGGAGAATGGCGTCTCGCAGTATCCGGCACAGGAGGGTGAGTCTACTTTCTGGCCTATTGCAGACTAAATATCCTAACAAATCAGGTCGTTTCCCGCAGGTATCCAACATTACGTATACGTTCGACCCCAGCAAGGAACCTGGCTCGCGCATCGTCGAAGCCACCTTGGGTGGAGGCCCGATGGAGATGGACAAGAAGTACACCCTCGCCACTCGTGGTTATATGGGTCGAGGAAAGGGTACGTTCAAGACCTGAAGAACTTTGTGTACTCTGCTAATCATGACAGATGGTTACACCAGTCTTCTTGTCGAGCCGGAAGGCGGCACGGCCGAGGAGATCGTCTGCGAGGAAAACGGCATTCTCATTTCAGCCATGCTTCGCCAGTACTTCATGAGTCTGCGCACTGTTGGCCAGTGGAAAAATCTCAGTGAGCACTGGGTTCAGGTAGCCGAAAAGTGCCACACTCCCGTCGAGCCGCGCAAGATGTGGGAGACGCCCGCCGCGACAGGCACCTCAGACCCCAAGCCCGAGGTTTATTCCAAGTCCTGGGCTGAGTGGATGGTCAAGAGGCACGCCCTCAACACCAAGCTCCCCAAAGACGAATCAGATGAGTCTGATACGGAGGATGAGGCAGATACCATCGCGCAGGTCGACATGGAGATGCTTATTATGCGCAAGTTCTTCGCTAGATGGGCGAAGGCGGCAGGCGTGAAGGCTGAAGTGTGCGATCCCTTGCGTGAGGGCGAGTTTACTGTAGACTGGACACGGGTTATCGCACCGGTGTTAGAGGGGCGCATCAAAATGATTAGCTAAAGCCTAAACAACATAGAAAAGCAACAGACAGCATGCCTCTCAGTACACATCCAGCTAAACTAGGACGCATGACCATTTCAGAACAACTTTGGGAGTAGCTATCTAAGTCTTATAGGTAATGCACGGCAAAAGGATGGACAATCTAGGAACCGAACTTGGGACCTACCGCATGCGAAGCGGTCGTTACACCCCTAAACCCATCGCCCATTCTGATGAAAATACATTGGCCTTGGGACTGATCATTGAGTTTGTAGTTACGACGCAGCCCCCCCCCCCCCCCCCCCCCCCGCAAAAAGACTACGGCAAAATTCACCCCATACGCGGGCACAATTCTGGAAACATTATGTGGGCACTTTGACCCGTGCCCTCTACCAATTAAGGAAAACAGTACAGAAACCCCATACGTTCCTTGGGACTGATCATGAATCAAACGATTCCACGGATGTGGTGTAGCCTAGAAATATTGTCTAGGATTCGTGGCGTCGAGTCTGGCCGCTGTGATGGTGGCCGCATGTCTTTCAGCTGCGGGGTCACCAGGGATTTCACACCGAAGCTGAACTCCCCGGATCGTCGCACAAGGCTCACCTGCAGTCATTCCAGGGATTCAAATAACTAAAGAACGAGGGTTGTGTATGGTTGTAACGTCACTTGCCGCGGACTTTCGCTGGTGAGCTGAAGGATCTTCAAAGCTAAGGGGCGAAGAGCGGGAGGACATCTTGCCGTATTACTAGCGAGCTGACCTTTCCCCAAAACGTAGGCGGGACAACCCTTGTCCAGGGTTCAGCTTTTGGAAAACGGCCACGAGGGGAAACGTGGGTTCAGTTGTGTCTTGGAAAATCCAAGTTTGCTTCGGCGGTTAATCGTCAAATGACGCCATTCTTCAAGCTTCAAGACTTGCATGATCTGCAAGGGGTAGTAAAGCTTGACAAGCTCTGATGTCTAGACAATTGTTCCTCCAGATTATACAAGACGGCGATTACGAGACTACGGGAAGCTGGGGTACTTTCCGACTTATCGACGTAGTGATTCTGATGTTACAACTGATGATTAGGAAAACAGCCCAAAAGTATCGCTGCAATATGCAGTAATAATTGATAACCTTCGTCGTTAAACAATAAGCAGTCACCACTACCACTAACAGGCAACGTCGGTAGACTAAATGGTCGATCTATCACCTTTGACCGGGGAGATCGCGCCGATTTCTGTCACTTCTCGTCATTCCTGTCTTACAGTAGACCGGAGAAATCCTGTCACTGTCTTACACTAGTTTCTGAGTATGTGAACTAGGTTCATCCCATTGCTTATCCTCCATTCTGGCAGCGGGAGTGGCTGATATTTCTAGAGTAAGTGGCTTTCTTGAACCCTGGAGGGTATTAATACCTCGTCCAAGTCAGTTTCAACTCGGTTTAGAGTCATGATAATCTTCAGAATAGCCTTGGCTGAACTGCAATGACGCGAGCCAAGAACCAGAGCAAATGCAATGCAACCCAAGGGAGCCGACTTTGGACGCTTGCTTCGGCTACCTCGTGGCTATACGGAGGAACTCCTGCGCTCGATCTGAGTTGCTGACGCGACTCAATGACTCCAAAAGATTATAAATACTGCTATTTTGTACGCTCAACTAGAAGTTTATCTTGAGCATCATCAACCTCATCAACCCGTTAGAAATTCATCGCCGAACAACTACCAAACATGCAGCTGCAATCTTTCCTCGTCGCCGCGGTGTCGGTACCGGCAGTCTTCGCCGCCGTGAACGAACCATGCTACGGTTCAGGAGGCAGAGCTGGTTTGTCCCACTTCTCAAATCCCACCTACACTTTCACTGACGAAAGTATCAGGTGTCTGCGTGACTACTAGCAGCTGCTCATCCAGCGGCGGCACCACGATCAACGGCGCCTGCCCCAAAGACCCGGACAACGTCAAATGCTGCACCAAAGCATCCTGCGGCAGCGGCGGCAACTGTCGCTTCACAAGCGACTGCGCAGGCACCTCTGTCGCCAACCAGTGCCCGGGTCCCAGCACTTTCAGGTGCTGCGACTCATCAGCCTCCGGCTTCGGTGGCTACGGCGCCCCGAATACCCTGACTGTGGGCGCTTGCAAGTCGGTCGCCGTCAACGGCGCCAAGAAGATTGTGGCGGCGTTCCCGAAGAGGGTTCGGGAGATCTTTTGCACGCGGGACTGTACTTGTCCTGGCGACTCGGATCACTGCTGTGGCAAGGCGACGGATATGATGTGCTCTGACGCTGGCGGTGTAAGTGGCATTCGTATGACTCTATGGGATGATACTGATCAAATGGCAGACTCCCACCACTTCCGGTAAGGAGATTGCCGAATGGGTCATGAACAATCGCGCGACACTTGACTTGAAGTATGTCATCTGGGGACAGCGTATCTGGAATCCTTCTGTGGACTCTGTCAAGTCTTGGTCGGATTGGAGGGGGATGGAGGATCGGGGTGGTGTTACCGCGAACCACTGGTGAGTCCTGATCTAAATGTCCTTGAAGAATGGGATGCAAACTGACAGTTTTCCAGGGATCACGTTCATGTGAGCTACAACTAAGCATCAAGGATGAGATTCATCGGAGCAATTCTTGCTACTGGGCACGACCGCAAGGAGTAAGGGACTTGAAAATTGTAACCATGATCAAAGAAGGCATTCTAAACCATTAGCTGTAATTATATGACGCTGGAAGTCGACGCAAAAATCCACGTTGGCGTTGTAATGTTGACACCCACCGAACATGTGATGATGTGATGCGTCTGGTGCCCATGAAGAGGAAGCCACAGCAGAAAGTTTCGTCTTTGCTCAACATATCCTGGTATTTGTCCGAGTCGTGTTATTCGGGTCTCGGCAATCACTGGTGAGTGATATGTGATATATGATATGCAAGAAAATGCTCAACAAGGATTGGGACACTCGCCATCGCGGGACATAACCACAGCTGTCAGCCCTCTGGTTAGGAGAGTCTAAAATGATTCAATAAATGGTAAACTCTGACGAATTACATTAAACATCCTCTTCAATCTTCTCTCTTAGTCAATTTCTAACTCGTGGTGCAGAGATTTACCCGATTCAAAGTGCTAAACGTTACACCATGTTGGAAGCTCACCTGTTGGTTCCGCTGCATGCAACCTCCTCTGATACGTCCGGCGATGTCACTATTCGGGATTATGCTCCACGCTTCAAGTCCTGAATCGAATGTTCACCGGAAACCTGCATGAAAGCTCGAGTCAAGGAGAGGGGTAAATGCATGGACTTTTTGAAGACCCGTGGATTTTTGTATATAGATGGCAACCCGCCCAACCGTTCGCGTGATAACCTTCAACATTCATGAGGAAACAAAGTCCAACATTCCAGAACACGAACAATCTGACGGCATCATTGAAGAGAGAATCATGTGGGAGACGAGGGAAGACACCATTGGGATTGTCCCGGCTGCTTCTACGCAGCCAGCATTGGCACCGCCAGATAACACTGCAGACGCAAACACCGCAGACAACAGCCCAGCCGTGCTTCTTGCGGAAGATGTAAGTTGAGAAAATTTTCAAATCTTTCTCAGGCATTATTGACATAAGTTTTCTTCGCAGGTGCCAGACGATGAGTCTGCTCGAGGAGAGGTTAGTGAAAATTCAATTCCAAATTCGTCTCCGCCCCCAGCGATATGCCTTCTCTGACACGATGACACGTAGAGTATCGCCTCGTCGAGTACCAGTGTGACAGAGTCTGTTCTTGAATATCGCATTGAGAATGGTCGAACGTATCACAAATACAAAGACGGTAGTAAGTGGACAGCCAACTGAGATCCGGTATGGCTCATTGGCACAGTATCTGAGGAGTACAGAATACCATCTTCCGAACGATGAAAGGGAGAATGATCGCCTCGGTGAGTATCTTGATCAAACATCGTCTGGATAATTGCAGCTGATGCTTGGGAAGACGTTCAACATAACATGTGGCTGCTTACTTTCGACAATCGTCTGGGAACTGCACCGCCGAACGATCCTAACTCTAAAGTTGGAAGAGTTCTTGATGTTGGAACCGGAACGGGGATCTGGGCCATGGAGTTTGGAGAAGAACATCCGGATGCAGAGGTCTCATGAAACGGTCCCAGTGCATCCACGCGTATTTTACTGACCTTTCACTTGTGACAGGTTCTTGGAGTTGATTTATCGGCCATCCAGCCAGAATTGTATGGTTACATAACGATGCTTCATCATCCAACGGTATCTGACTTTATCATAGTACTCCTACGAATGTCAAGTTTCAAATTGACGACATCGAGGAACCGTGGACTTACTCTCAGACCTTCGACTATATCCACAGTCGAACCATGACCTTCAGTGTGGCTGATTGGAAAGAATATATCCAGAAATGCTACAAGTTTGTTGATGAAGTCTCCATTCATGTTTGAAGTTTCACTGACATGAGACCGTAGCAACCTCAGCCCCAATGGCTACCTTGAATTGAACGAAGTCGACCTATGGCCAAAGTCCGATGACGAAACATTGAAGGATGACTCTGCTGTCTTGAAGTTCGTTCGCCTTTGGGCAGAGGCTGCGGTCATGTTTGGGCGCCCATTCCAGGACATCAGAGTCTTGAAGGATATCATGATTGAGATAGGCTTCGAAGACGTTTACGCTCAGATGTTCAAATGGCCCACGAATTCATGGCCTAAAGACCGGAAGCACAGGGAGCTCGGTTTCTGGAACCACGACAACTTCTGTGCCGGACTCGAGGGCTTCATGATGGCACCTCTTACGAGAGCTCACAACTGGACCAAAGAAGAGGTTACTGTTTTCGGGGTGGAGGTGCGCAACGATATGAGAAACAAAAACATACACGCCTATTCTGCCGTGTGAGTGCCCCATCTACACCCATAATGCTACTTTCAATTGACCTCACGTAGATGGTCAATCTACGGGCGAAAGCCAAGCGACAGTGAGGCCTCGAAGTAAACTCGAAAAGCTCAACATAACCATCTGAGGAGAATTTCATTACAGTCATCTGTTTTCGCTCTCATATTTGGACTCGCTGCAGCAATCATAGTGACAGCATATGTACATAAATACACACTCGCTTGGCCTAATAATAGCCCTCAAAGGTATCCTCATGATCCTTTGCTACTTTTGCAACGGCTTGCTTGATTGGCAGGCTTCCATCACCGGGCCCCAAGATATCGAATGCGAGTCCGTGAGTCTTGTTGTTCTGGATGGACGCGTAGATCACCTTTGCAACGTCTTCGCGTGGAATGATGCCGACTGTTCCCACCTTTCCGGCTCTGATGACGCCCTCGCTGGGACCTTCTCCAAGACCACCCGGCCTCACGATCGTGTAGTCGAGTCCGCGAGCCGCATTTCCGACCCTCAACTCCGTGTCGGCCGCAAGCTTAGCTCGGAGAATGGGACCAATGATGCCCCACATACGGTCACTGAGCTTCTCATCGGCTTCCGTGTACCAATCCGGGACGGGCTTGTTCTCACGGTCGCGGACGTCGAGGGCGCTCACAACAATGTATCGCTTAGTTGTGACATTGGCTTTGGCTAGGGCATCCATGGCGCGGATGGCGCCGTCGCGGTCAACGGCCTCGGCGGACTTGGGATCCTTGCCGCCGGCTGCCCACACCACCACGTTGGGCCGGGTGCCCTCGATAATTTTGATGAAGTCCGCCTCGGAGCCGGTTGCGATGTCCTGAACGATTGGTTTCGCGCCGATGGCTTTGAGATCCGGGATCTGGTCCGGGTTTCGGATGACACTGAAAACGGTGTGCGGGGTGGGGGCGCCCAGAAGGATCTTGGTCAGCTGGCGGGCAGTCTTGCCATTGCCGCCAAAGATTAGAGCCGTTGGCATGTGAAGGATGGATGCGTCGCCCATGGTTGACTATGTTTTGTACGTTTACTGAGCTCGTAAGGTGACCTATTACACTACACGAAGCAATACACTCGGAGTGGCTTGACTATCGTCTCGCGTCCATTAACTTCGATGACGGCATTATCCTTACAGGGTCCGTGGAACGGAAGAAACCCCGCGCCGGACAAGACTCTCGGACAGCTGTTTTTTCCGTCTCCTATTCGTATTTGTAACAGGAGAATTCTTCTCCACTTTTAACATTTTTTGTTCACATTGCTCGGTCCTCATTGTCAGCAAGAAATAGATGTGGCTATGGTGAAGTTTATGCACACACATGTCGCCGGAGCTCACCATCGTCGGTCCCTCTGACAGCAAATACAACATGTCATGGTAACTCGGATAACGGCACGAAAGCCATGAATGTCGAAATCCGCCATCGGCTCCGAATGTTGGGCTCTCGCCTTACCTGCAATGTCTCCGATGTCACCTTCCTATCAATAACAGCACCCCTGATTGGTGCTGTTCCAGTTGACCGATGTCCTGCCAGCCACGCTCCAGGCTTTAAATCTGCACGCGAGCACAGCAATGTCTCTCATGCTATTTGAGAGAACTTCGGATTTCGGTATTGCCGCAGAGAAAGTGAATGAATATCCATGTTTCCCCCCAAATCCCATCAAAAGCCAGAGACTCGATCATAGGCGCATCTGACCACCAAGCCACCAGCCCCCTATGCGTTATTGCAACCGGCCGCCCACTGCACCGTTGCGCTGATCGCCCGTATTCAGGGCTGCGTGATGGGTAATTCCAGCTGCCTTATTGGGCAGGAGGCGCTGCTCCACGCTTCGTTGGGGTTAGACTGGGGAGGCCTTGTCCCGGGAAATGAGCTAGACAAGCACTTAAGAAGAAGCATATCTAGGCGATCCACGACGGCCTGAACCGATTGGAAAACAGCCTTCCTATTCGGCCACTACGGGTGACATTTATAGCATGTCTCCAGAAGAATACGAGATCGCTCGCTTTCGACCCGTCGTTCATGGCCCCATGCCTGCAGGGACCAAGGGTCGCCCCGTCCAACGTTGCATTGCCGGATTCCTCCAGAAGGGCGAGAATCAAACCATAAAGTAGACTGTTCCCAGCGTAAGATGGGAGTGGAAGGCTGAATCACGCACCCGTCAGTCATTCGTTCAAGCCTTCGATCATGAAGCAGAGCCTCCTCGCCACCGTCGCTCTGGCGACACTCGCATCCACGGAGTACATCTGGCCGTCGATTTACGATGAGATCGAGGACCACCTCTCCCTGCAGTCCGGATACCTGCGCAGGGGCTTCATTGATGGTTGGGCTTACTTCCTTTAATCAACACAAACTCACATGTACTGACATTGGCAAGGCGTTCTCACATGCGGTTTTGGTACAAACATCCAAGGCCGTCAAAACTCGGCTGAATGGATTCGGAGCGCCTTCCACGATATGGCGACCCATGATGCTGAAGCTGGAACGGGAGGTCTTGACGCATCCATCTTCTTCGAGCTAGAGCGGGCGGAAAACATCGGAAAAGCTTTCAACAATACGTTTGGCTTCTTCAGCAGCTTCTACTCTGCGCGCGCGTCAGCCTCTGACTTATTGGCGATGAGTGTGCTTGTAGCCAGCTACTCCTGCGGCGGCATCAAGATCCCATTCCGTGCCGGCCGTGTTGATGCCCAAGAAGCAGGACCGGCAGGCGTTCCAGAGCCGCAGACTGACTTGGAAGCCACTCAGGCGGCTTTCACCAAGGCTGGGTTCTCAACGCAGGACATGATTGCCATGGTGGCCTGCGGTCATAGCCTCGGAGGAGTACACAGCACCGATTTCCCTGAGATCGTCGGCGTTGAAGCGGATCCCAACAACGACACCGTCGCTCATTTTGATGTCAAGTTTGACAACTTCGACAATGGCGTGGTCACAGAGTACCTGGATGGGTCGACGAAGAATCCTTTGGTTGCGGGAACCAACGACACCCTCAACTCCGACAAGCGCATCTTCGGCGCCGATGGTAACAAGACGATGCAAGCGATGGCCGACCCGAACACGTTCCAGACCATGTGTGCCGATATCTTCACTCGTATGATCGACACAGTCCCCGCTAGTGTTAAGCTCAGCGACCCTATTGTCGCGACGGACATCAAACCCTACATTAACGGCTTGTATCTGAAGGACGACGGCAACATCTCGTTCGCTGGCCGCATCCGTATTCGCACTTCAGCCGAGACTGGACGAGACCCGACAGATCTTTCCGTGCAGTTGACCTATGCCGACCGCAACGGTAATGGATCAGAGGTGATCACCACAAGAAAAGCGACCTTCCAAGGCGGATCTGCTTCCGGACTTTGGCGCGAGTCCTTTGCCTGGTGGGAGTTTGACACCACTATTAGCCCTGCAACGGGTATCAGCAAGTTTTACATTCACGTAACAAAAACTTCCACGAACGAGACAATCACATACGACAATGCTGGAAATGCATACCCCATGGATGATGCCCTCCTGTACCAGGAAAGCCAGTCTTGTCTCGATACCAATGTTGTTAACGGACAGATGGCTCTCACTGTCAAGGCCTTTGTGCGCAAGGACCGTCTACCCGCTGCAGCAAGCGACCTGACCCTGGACCTCGTCAACGAATTCCGCCGACAAGGTGTTATCGTACCAAGACTGGAGACGGAGAAGATTCCTTTCGAGGCCGCAGGGGAGGAGAAGGAGCAGTGGGTCGCTTACAAGGCCTCTGGTAAAGTCAACGCAGATGGCTGGAACACCAGCTTTGATATCAAGCTGGGTGGAGACAAGGCGGTAGAAGTCGCATTCAAGAAGACCGGTGGCTTGGGATCAAATGTCTGCTCTTAGATGTCTATCTAACCATAGTAATTATAATATGATCGGTTACTCTACGCGTTATACACCTTGAGTCCCAACGCCCCCGGCAAGGCAGCTCTTCGCCTGTGCCTTTACTTATTTAGAGGGTGTACAGGTTCGGAGATGTGCCCGAGCCGGCGAATCTTTCTATAAGCTTTTTGTTGTCCCGCCTCAAAGTCCATTTCATAAGCATGCAGCCCAGCACGCTTGCAATAGAGAACGCGACCATGAGTATCATAGCTTTGACATAACGTGGAGCATCGCCGGGCGAAAAGAAGTACGGACTCCAAATATTGCCAAACTGACCAAAGATGTTGATGATCGCGGTCGCGCAAGCTCTCTTCTCAGGCGTCTGGCTAACGGAGGACGCTGCCCAACCGAAAAGGATCGCGTTTCCTGAGAAGGCTCCTGATATATAGAGGAATGATGCAAAGTATCGAGCCGGAACGTTCAGAGTAGCAGCAGAGATGATGAACCCGACTGCAGACATCATCATGGGAAGGCTGATGTGCCAACCGCGCTCGTTCCTTACGTCGCTCGAGTATGCCACAAGCAGAGAGAATATAGCACCGACTAAATACGGCGGAGCTGTGCAAAGAAGAGTGACTGTCCTGCTTCCGAGATTGAAGCCCTTGACGATCGTCGGGTAGAAGTTATTGAATCCATACGCAGTGTGGTTGCAGCAGAGAATGAACGCCTAGATCAAAGGATCATGTCAGCAAGTCGCAATCCGACAGTGATGATAAGAAACAAAGGTCGTTGTAAGTGACTTACGAATACCCAAACTCGGTAGTCCTTGACTGCAGTTTGGAGCCCGTACCAAAGCGAATTATTTGACTCTTGGTTTGAAACCTGATCCCTCGCCATTCTCTCAATCGCCACTTGTCGTTCTTCCTTCGTCAAAAGCCACGTTGCTGAGCCAGATTCCGACGCTGGGAAGTCTGGTAGAAGAAACATTGCCATAACTCCGAAACCGAAGCTTGCGACCCCTTCAATGATGAAAAGCCACCGCCAACCACTCACTCCATGAACCCCAGTCAGGCCTGAGTAGATACCAGCTGCGAGTAATCCTGAGAAGCTTGTAGCCAAGCTGATACCTGAATACAGGATCGCTGTGCGGAGAGCTAGTTCTTTCCTGGTGTACCAGCACGAGAGAAGGAAAAACGCACCAGGCCCAAAAGGTGCCTCGCTCACTCCGAGAAAGAACCGTAAGGCAATGAGCCCGGA